CTTCTCTGTGTTGTCCAGTTTTTGGCTAAATTCAAAATGCGCAGCTTAAACATCGAATGGGGCACCCTATAAAACTAATGCCGATGATTCTAAAAATTGTGTCTATATTTTCACATTTTTGTTTGCTTTGCAGATGCAGCCACCTCCAGACGTCTCCCCCGTGTGGCTGGACACTCAGGCTCGTGTCAGCTCTGCTGGCTGCCTTACTCTACACTGCAGATGTCATCCTGGTGAGTGTCCTCCAGCAGGGAGACATGTACCTGGACATCCTAGCTGGCAGCTGTGCAATCCTGGCCTGGCTGGTCCACTTCAGTGTCATAACAGTGCTCCAGAGGACTGTTTTTAAGAGAACCAGAGGACCAACACTGCTGCTTCTCCTGGTGCTTCTGTTACTCCCCAACCTTGTCATCAACTTGATAATTTACTCTAACAACAAGGAATATTTAAACCCAGCTGAACCTCTTAAACTGGCCCGATTTGTTCTTGCCTCAGTACGGACATTTCTTTTTCTCATTTACCTCCTGGCATTTGCTTTCCCCTGCATCAGTGATGCTGGGTACACTTTGTATATTAACGATGTTGATGGCTCTCCGCTCATCCCAGAGAACACCCAGCTGGAGACTGGGGAGATTGTGGCTGAGGATGGGAGTGACTGCCTGTCTCGACTCTTCTACTTGTGGCTCACCCCTCTCCTCAGGCGAGGGCAGAGATGGGAACTGGACAGACCAGCCGATGTATATCACCTTCCCCAGAAACTTAGAACTAGTGTGATTTGTCGGTATTTTCACCAGTGCTGGGAAGCCTGCTGGCAAGGATCACCAGTCACTTACCAAGAGGATCAATGGCCCACACCAGTCAGCACAAACCTCCCGAGTGGCAGCTGGAGTTTACACAACCAGGACCAACCACTGGAGCTGGAAGGTGATGTAAGATTGCTGAAGGTGCTACACAAGGCGTTTGGGAAGTGGTATTACATCCTTGGTCTGCTGAAGGTGACAGTCAACATATTGAGCTTTGCAGGTCCACTGCTCCTCAGTAGTCTTGTGAATTTTATGGAGGAAAAAGGTGCCCCAGTCAGCAGGGGTGTCTGGTGTGCCTTGGGGCTCTTTGCTACCACCCTGCTGTGCTCTGTTCTACGAAACATCTTTGTCTTCGAGGTCTCCAAGGTGGCGCTGTCAGCACGAGCTGCTCTTGTGACGGCCATCTACAACAAAGCCCTGAGAGTCAGCAGCTGCAGCTTGGCTGGCTTTACTTTAGGAGAGGTGGTGAACTTAATGAGCACAGACACCGACCGTGTGGTTAACTTCTTCCAAAGCTTCCATGAGCTGTGGAGCCTGCCCTTTCGGTTAGCTGTCACCCTTTACTTGCTATATCTGCAGGTGGGTGTAGCTTTCCTTGGAGGACTGTCCGTAGCTTTGCTGCTGGTGCCATTCAACAAGTTCCTTGCTTCCTGCATCCTTAGCAACAATAAAAAGATGCTCATGTGGAAGGATAACCGTGTTAAGGTATGGCATGTTTAAGCTCTTATTACACTGAGTTGATTTATATACTTTTATGAAGCTACCCAGGGAAAAAATCTTGTTGAGATTATTTTTAATTTTGAACTTATTTCCAGTTAATGACAGAGATCCTCTTCGGCATTCGCGTCATCAAGTTCTATAGCTGGGAGCCTCATTTCACACAGAAGGTGGCTGACTGTCGCAAAGAGGAGCTGTCCCACCTTAAGGCTGTCAAATACCTGGATGCATTGTGTGTGTATACCTGGGCTGCTCTACCTGTGGTCATCTCCATCCTGACCTTCGTCACATATGTGCTGCTTGGACACCAGCTGACGGCAGCAAAGGTAAACTGGCTGCTGTGTTGATGCTGAGTGAGCTTTGTAGAGAATTAGGGAATGTAGGGTTACTGTATAAACATATTTAAAAAAATAACTCTGACAAGAGCAACACCTGAGATGCTGGAGTGGTGGAGGGGTTGAAAAGAGGGCAGCTGCCGAGCCGGGGCGGTCTGCTTCTCTCCACCGCAGGGAAAAGGGTAACATTACCTGGGTCTGGGTGCAGTTCCCCCCTCCAGGGGCAAGGGTACCTAGACCCGGGGCTTAGAGTACGCTTGGGGAGTGTGATCGTGTGTACAGCGTCTCTTTATGTCTGTCTCCACGTTGGGTGAGTGTGGAGTAAGTGCATATGAGAGCATGAGGGTGGGAATGGATGTTTGTGTCTGTGTGTGCCTGTATGTCTGTGTCTATATGTCAGGTTGGGTATCAGGCGCCACCTCTCTGGGGACATCTCAGGCCCTCCAAGGTTTGGAGGCCTATCTCCCCCCACCACTCCCCCTGCCAGTGGCAGACGCCCTCAGACATCGGTGCGTTGGTGGTTCTTTGTGTCTGGGGATGGGCGTCCGGATACCCACCGGCTCACTCCTTGGTGGCTGCTTGTCGTGGCCTCTCGGCCTGGGGCTCGGTCACTCAGGCACAGCTGGCTGCCGGCGGAGCTCACGGGCGCGTCACTGCAACTCCCCCTGGCTTCTGCTCCGCGGCTGCTGAGTGAGCCCTCATCTGGGACTCTCCTCAGCTCTTTCTGGGACAGTGGCGCGGCTGCCCCTCTGTTGGTCTTCCTTGGTCTCTTGTGTTCTGGGGGCCTCTGGATGTCTGGAGTTTTGATCTCCTCCATACCTGCTTCATGCCCTGGAGGACGGGGCTGTGGCCCCCCCACATCCTCTAGCACACAGGTGTCGAACTCCAGGCCTCGAGGGCCGGTGTCCTGCAGGTTTTAGATGTGTTGCTGATCCAACACAGCTGATTTAAAGGCTAAATGACCTCCTCAACATGTCTTGAAGTTCTCTAGAGGCCTGCTAATGA